CCCATGTTTGGTAGGAATTTTTTTTTTTTTTTTTTTTTTAGCCATTCCTCCATCTGCTGAGCTTGGAATTATAATTTGATTTTAATCTGTACCAAAAAAGGACTAAACATGTTACTTCTCTTGCGACCTTTTAAGATGGAATCTGGAAATTCAATAAGTTATAATGGTGTCCAAAAATTCCAAACGAGTATTCGAGTTTCAAAAGCAAATAAGTCATCATCTTATTATGAAATGTTAAGAGTAAAATCAAATATTGTTTCAATATAAAAAATTACTAACATATGACAACTTGGTTTACTCATTTTAATTATGTTAAATTTGTAAAATGAAACTTAGAATTCAGTATTACCATGCCTCTTTTGATCGAGTATTTCATTATAATTCCATATATTTTGATAGTTATATTGAATGGAATCAAACTTCAAATATACAATAATTATAACTCGACTACTAGTCGAAATTAACTGAAAAAACAGTTATAAATAACACTAGCATGGCATGTGTAAATTTTTATAATTTTCTTTTCTTTAATTTCGCCTTTATCTTCCAAAGGAGAATTGAGCAAATGTCAATGACCTAGTAAGACTTTGTTATTAGTACATGAACTAGCCCTTAATTTTGCTTATATTAATTATTGGTCTGTTATATAAGATAATTTGATATTATTAAGCCCTCTGTTTGAGTCACATTATTATAAAAATGAGAAAGAAAAATATAGTCGTTATGAGTCACACATAAGAGATAAAAAATCAAATATGGTGACTTGATGCGATAAATAACGATAATATTTTTCGTTTTAATGAGAAAATAATGGAGCTTAAACAAAGAAAATTATATATGTGGGGTGGGCAGTTTATGGAGGTGTCATCCGGCAAATGTGTATCTTCTCGCATCACGAAAAATCCCACAATTTTTCTTGAATTAGACACGCGTCCATCACATATGACCCAACCAATAAAATATTAATACACATCAAATCCTTTGGTGATGCATATCAAAATTTTTCATCAAATTTTTTATTATTTTTTTTATTTTTTGTGTGATTACTTTAATGGAATTATGTGATTAATTGCTTGTCAGGCAGGAAAGTTGTTCCTTGGTCAGATGAATATATATGATTTTGTGTAATCATATGATTGGCTAATTAAATGAAGTTAATTAGTTGTCTAATGATTCTGATTAATTTATTAATTAGTTTATTTATGTGATGATTGAGTGGTTGTCACATTCAACGTATGCTAGTTCTTTTGATCAGGAGAAGACTACTAAATAATGAACGACAGAAAGGATAGACAAGTTTGAAGAGTTCCTGAAAAGTCATGTGTTAATAGAATATGTAAGAAAGAAAACAAAAGTATTCATGTGTATTATTAATTTATTATAATCATGGTGACATTTATGCATCTAGTCTTTTTTTTTCCTCATCAATTGTAACATTTACTTACTGATTAGTTTATTCTTTTTTGTCAAAGTTTGATTGGTTAGAAAAATACTGACTTTTTAAGTTTAATGTGAAGTTTCGATTAGAATGTTCAATAAGGCTGTTTGGTGGCGTCCCCCCCAACAGGGCACCAATTCAACGCCTTGGACGGATGTGACCCTATCCGTCCAGCAAAACCCTAGAATGTTGTGCGCAATCGTATTTAAAAAAATAATAAATAATAGAGCGAACATCGGTACGTCAACATGATAATTATTTTTGTATTTATTATTAAGCTCTTGTTTGATGAAAATTAAAATCTTAATTTTTATCTAAGTCAAAATTAATAATTAATGTTAACTATATATTTCAGTGGATCCACAACTTTTCAATCACACATTTTATCAATTTTTATCAAAAGGGGTTGCTCCCTCAGCAAAACTTGGATAAAGGTGAGCCAAAAGTTCTCGATTCAAGATAAATTCATGAAATCTACTAAAAATTCGATTTTAATTCCTACAAAATAGGGACTATGTAATAGAGTTTCATTTAAGGGCAAATCAGAGACCTCTCAAGAGGTTTCTAATAATTTCAGAGACATTTTTTCCATTTTCAAAATTTACAAAAATGATTATTTCAAGTTTTTAAATAATGAATACTTCAATTAATCACTTTTCTATTACTTTTTAAGTATAAATAATAGTGGTAATGATGTAATGCGTAAAATAGTCTTATGAATATTTTTCTATTTTGTGGTTCCTTTAGCAATAATGTAATACATAAAATACCATAATAACGTTTTTAACTAAATTACAAGAATTAGTGTTACTTAAACCATCAATTCTTCAAAATTACTTCAACCTTTAATTAATTTGAACAATTATATTGTTCCTAAAGATCCCTCTTTCATCACTAACTAGCAGGTCTCATCTGACTGTTCCTATCCCCGGGATCGGCGGATAATTGCTACTCTTGTGCAAAAAAGTCTGGAATGCCAAGTGCGGAACACAAGAATGAGGGATTTTAGTTATGATTTCATCTTCTATGAGTACTAAAAATTTGGTAGTTATGAGGGGGAAATACTTTCTTCTTTGAAGTTGATAAATATATAATTATATTTTCTGAATAATCAAAGCTGGCAAATTTATATATAGTTTCAAGTCTTTCTACTTTGAAAGAGAGTTGACAAGAAAATGCATTGCTGAATGATTGATGAAAGTGGGGTTTAAAATGAGTACTATAGGTGAGTTGACTTAATTCTTTATTTGCTTGTTTGAACATTTTTAAGCTTTGATACCACTTGAATATTAATATTTCATTATTTTTATATTTAAGGGATGTGCAAGATTTCATTTAAAATTTATTTTTCAATTATAATATACTATTTTCTTATATAAATGCATTTCCCTTCACTTGAAAAAAAAATTGAGGATTAAGAAGATAGATTATCTCTCCCTTTTTTTTTAGACATATGATTATATTTCACAATACTTCTGTGCCAAATTAAAAATTGAACATTCATGTGCAAATTAACAAAATACTAATGAAAATTAGGGTAATTATATTCACATAACAATATTTTATATCTGCACCACATTTTAATTACAAAAAAGATTTTCTATGTTTGCTCACTTTAGGGATGACAATTTGAACTATCAAAATCGAAAATTGCAGTTAACCGAATCGAGTGAGACGAAAAAAAATCGAACAGATGGTACAATGAGGTAGATATGGTATTTGATTTTAATAACCTGGTTCGGGGCGGTACAGGTATGGTATTTACATCGTCGCCCCGAACCGAACCGATAACTAGTTAATTTTTTTTTCATCTAAATAGTAATCCAATGCAAAACATGTATAAAAAAAATATCTAATTTTGCAACCTTCACAGGGGCCTTTTTTATTCCTTTGCAGTCAACGTGATAGTTATCAACTCACTCGCTCTTAAAGCGAACTCAATTAACAATTTCAGTTTCAAAAAATTTATACTATTATAGTAAATTTGATCATTTGATTAGTTTTAGGCATTTGGATTGGCTTGAAATTAAGTATACATAGTCTTTGCTTTTTTTGATTTTGTCATTAGTAACATAGACATCTCCCTAGGTATCATAAATTGCCGTCTTCTTATAGATGTACCATCTATCGGCCCTTTGTATAATTTTGATCTGGTAAGTGATCAACAACACAAATTGTTTGAAGTGCTCCAATATAATTCACTCGACTATCAGTTGATAACCATCATGTGTGACTTTTTTTAATGAATTGCTTTTTTTCAATTTGACGATTGGACCAAGAAAAAATAATTTATTTTCATGGTTACTAACCGTCCCAAATCGGACCGAACGAAATACGAACCGAACTAAAACCGACTTAAGTGGTTATGGTATGACAAAAAAAATTGGTGGTTCAGTGATAGCTTTGGCCAAACCGACCCCGAACTGAACTGTTGCCAACCCTAGCTCACTTTTACTTTTATGTTCTCAACTTTTTTTCTCATCTTATTGTTATTCTTAACCTTCAATTAATAACATATTTTGTCTCTAATCATGATTTTAATCTAAATATTCTACTAACGTGCATAGAAAAGATGGACAAATAGTTTGTTTAACTTTTGTATTAATTATTTATTTTGGTTGAATAAAAACATAAGAGATAAATATCTTTTTAACCCTCATAACAAACATCTAGGAGAAAAATTGTCTCTATAGACAGGTTGTGAAAATTAATACATGGTCGATGATAAAAAAATAAAAAATAAAAAATTTGAGAACATAAATGTAAAAATAAGAAAAGCTTAGGGATATTTATCGTAGCTAAAATGTGGTGTAGTTAATAAAAATTGTGGAATAAATATATTTACCCTTAAAATTAATTAATAATAAGACAAAGATAACTTTATGACAATATAATCATCCTACTAAAGGCCAATCCTTGCCAATATCTATAATGGTTTGAGACAGTTTGTTTCCTTGTCAAACCTAAAGAAGCACAAAGCTGTCTTTCTAATTCATTATGTCTATGTTTGGCTCTGGCAGTACTTTGAGAACTACCACCACCATAGCCAGCTTCATTTAGGTGCCCAAATGATCAAACTTGCTGGTGAGAGAATGACCAAGTATTTTATATAAGCAATTATTATTATTATTTTTTTTAATGTAGACTCACAATTATATTCCTACATGTAAGATGAAATATTAACAATATTTAATTAATTACTAAAAAGGTTTAAGAAACCAAAGATATGGCTGGAAATACTCAATAATCATTGAGGGGAATAATTGTCATTATATATACAATGTGTACAAACGTGTAAGTAAGCCTATAAAATACGAAAGAATAATGATGTAATCCTATAAAGAAGGAAATAACAATATTGACAATAATAAGATTAGTTATAATCAAGGACAGAATCAATCAATTGGTAATTCTTCCTTATCACCCCATCAAGATGAGCGTGGGAGAAGGGATAATGCGAACATTGTTCCGAAAAAGTAGGAATTGTGGTTTGGGAACACATTTGGTGAGAGAATCCCCCAGCTAAAGGTTGGAGGGTACAAAACCAAGAGCCAAATTGCCATTAGCAACTAATTTTGAACAAAATGATAATCAATGGCAATATGCCTGGATCGAGGCAGAGTGACCGAATTGAGAGCCATAAAAATGGCACTTTGATTGACACACAAAATCTTTGGAGTTGAAGGCAACTTGACACAAAGATCTTGAAGTAGTTGAACAATCCAAGAAATTTTGATAGTGCTACGGCTAGGTCTCGATATTCTGCCTCGGCACTAGAATGTGACATGGTAACTTGTGTCTTGGAACACCATGAGATTAAGTTGGTTCCAAAGAACATGACGTAGCCTGTAGTAGACCAATGGGTGCCAAGGCAACCTGCCCAATTCGTATCTGAATTACCAAGCAACGTTGGAGAGGAGTTGCGATCTAATTGAAGTCCATGGTGAATTGTGCCCATAACATAACGTAAAATATGTTTGAGAGCTTGAAAATGATCTTTAGTTGGACCATGCATGGATTGGAAAATATGACTCACTGAAAAGGAGAGATCTGGACAAGTTATAGTCAAATATTGAAGAGCATCGGCAAGTGAGCCAAAAAGAGTTGAATCAGAGAACAACTTCCCTTCAGTAGACAAATGTTGACCAATGACGAATGAAGTGGAGATAGACTTGGCATCAACCATGTCTGCACATTGTAGAAGATCAAGTGCATATTTCATTTGACTGATAAACATAACATCTAATGAGAGATTCCACCAAAGAGTGATTATTGCTTGTGATGACCATATCATCTACACATAGAAATAAATAAACTATGACAATCAAAGAGTGATATATGAACAAAGATGAGTCCACCTGATTGGGAAGAAAATCAAGCTTTAACAAAAAGAAGCTAAACATTGAAACCAAGCATGTGGGGCTTGTTTCAAACCATATAAGGTGCGCTTCAAATGGCAAACATGTCGAGGAAGCTATAAATCAGTATAACTATGGGGTTGTTCCATATAAACCTCTTCAGAGAGATTACCATGAAGAAAGGCGTTTTCTACATCTAATTGATGGATATGCCATCCAGAAGGGGTTGCCAAGTTGAGAATAAATCGGACTGTAGCAAGATGTACAACAAGACTAAAAGTGTCTTCAAAATCAAGTCCATGTATCTGAAAAAACCCTTGAGCCATAAGGGGAGCCTTATGTCGTTCAATAGATCCGTCGGCACGAAGTAAAGATCCATTTACACCCAACAACATTGTGATTAACAAGACAAGGAACAAGATCCCAAGTTTCATTCTTCTTCAAAACTTATATTTCATCATCCATAGTCAAGATCCATTTAGGATGTTTCATAGTAGACTTGAAACCTTGAGGCTCGTGAATGACAATGAGAGCCTAAAAAAATTGAGAAGAAGGCACAAGTATTAGAGCATGATAGGCCTTAGGTTTGAAAATACCCGTTTTTCCTCTAGTAAGCATCGGGTGGTCTGTTGGAGTTTGTACTGCTACTGAGAGAGGAAGGAAGGACAAAGGAGAAGGAGGGTAGTCTATAGGCACTGGATCAGGTGTAGAAGCATCTAACCTCATTTGATTAGATGGAGAAAACTCAAATATAGTGTCATTACACGATAAACAAGTGAGATCCGAAGTGGAGGAAAATGGTAAAGGATCCAAAAAACAGGCAGACAAATGGGAGCCACAATCTATACTTTTGCATAATTGAGTATAAGAATATGAGTTTGGAAGACTTTGTCCATTAGTACCAACATAAGGAAAACAAGTTTCATGAAATTGCATGTGACGAGAAATATAAATCAAACGTTTTTTTGGATCTAAACAACGAAAACCTTTATGAAGGGTGCTATAACCTAAGAAGACACATTGAGGAGATATGGGAGATAATTTATGGGGGGCATAATCACACAAATAATGAAAGCAAAGACAACCAAATGTGCGGACTATGGAGTAATGGGGTTGCTTACATTAGAGAAGCTTATAAGGAGTCTTGCCACCAAGATTTGGCAATGGTAGTCGATTGATGAAAAACATGGCAGTAACGAACACCTCAACCTAAAGGGATAAAGGTACATGGGCATGAAACATTAAGGTGAGACCAATTTAAGTCACATGTCGGTGTTTTCATTTAGCAATATCATTCTGACTAGGGATATAAGGACACGGAAGATGAAGAACGGTACAACTAGAAGTGAGATGTGAACGACATTGATTTTTGGTAAATTCAATACCGCCATCAGATTGAAAAGACTTTATCTTGATAGAAAATTAAGTTTCAATGTAGCGTTGAAAATTGATGAATGTACAAAAGAAAAATTAGATTTGTGTTTTAATGGAAAAATCCATCCAAATCAAGTACAATCATCAATAAACACAACATATTATCTATATCCAGTAGTTGAAGGAATAGGTGAGGGACCCCATAAATCACAATGTAAGTGTTCAAAGGGTAAATCACAACGATTCTCATTAAAAGAAAATGGTAAACGATGACTTTTGCAAAGTTTGCAACCAATATATAATTTAGAATCAATGTCCACCAATTTACTACTACAAGAATTAGATCTAATCTTGAAAGAGAAGAAACAATACGAAAATCAGGGTGACCAAGACGAGCATGCCATAGCTGAATCGAAGCTCGTGGTTTACTAGAAGCAACAACTGATAAGAAAGCATGAAGAGCTTGATCTAACACATATAGGCCATGTTCACATCTTTCGACTCCCAATGTTGCCTTGGTGACCCGATCCTGTATGGTAAAACCAGAAGAGGAAAAGTTAACACAACAATTATTATCTTTGGTGAGTTAACTCATAGAAAGAAGATTTTTCTTAATATCAGGAACGACCAAGACATTGGACAAAATAAGATGACTATTAGGGATAAAAGATTTAATAGAACCAGTATGTGTGATCAATAATGACTGACCATTTCCAAACATAACCCGGTCATTACCAGAGTAGGCGGTAGGCACGAGTGGCGTCGTAATCAGCAAACTATTCAGAGTCATTGGAGTCCTAAATTGAACAGGCAGCAAAAGCTTTAGCTTCTTTTTCAAATTCAAAAAGGTCTAGCAATGTTTGGCCAAATGTCCTTCCATATGGCATAGTTGACAAAAACTGGAGATGAAGAGGACTTCGAAGTAGTAGAAGGGGAAGACTTAGGCTTGCTTTTCCTATGGGCATTCGATTTGGAAGAGTTCTGCACATAAAAGGTAGAGTTCGAGGATTGGTGAAAAATCGACCTTTCAAAGATCTCATAGCTCAAGGCTTTCGACACTAACTCTGTAAAAGAAGGTAACGAAAGCTGTGAGAGCATAGTGGTAAGGAAGATTTTGTAGTCGAGACCAAGATCTAGCAAAAATCAATGAACTTTATCCATGTCGTCAATAGGACGGTCTATGGCAGCAAATTGGTCACAGAGACCCTAGAACGCTCGAGAAAATTCAGTAACAGATTAAGATCCATGCTGCATAAGCTGGAGCTCATCCTTGAGTTAAAGTTCTCGAGTTTTGGATCAGTGAGAGAATGGAGCTTCAAGGGCAACCCAGGCTTCATGAGAGTGACACTTACCAAGAACTTCACTCATGGATTCCTTAGTGAGAGAGGAGTAGAGCAAACTCAGCAGCATCTGATTTGTGCATATCAAGGAAGTGCATTCGGCATTGGGGCTCTTAGTGACGTCAAATGTAACGCCCCAAATTTTATCGACTTAAAATTTGAGGTGTTACCAATATCATTTCGTATCGCATACATAAAGCGAAAATATTAAATTCGAAATTTAAAACTCTTGATTTATTTAATACTCAAATACCAAATTGAATAAACAAAATGTCGCGTAAACATAGAACATTAAACAGAATTAAACTGAAGCACATAATCCTAACAGAATTATTTTAAAACGTTTTCTTGCGAAGTTTTTCTTTACTTGGCAACCCGCGCACCGCTCAGCCACCATCCACGTTGACCGTACTGATCTGAAGTATTGAAATTGAAGGAGTGAGTAATTACACTCAGTAAGATACGTGCGTCCAAACAATATAATAATTTAAAACGTAAACTCATAACATTTAATACCAACATTTCGTCAAGAGCAATCGGTGATCAGTCGAAAGCTCTAATACAATTTGAGAAGACCCGAAGGCGATCTCACATTTCATTTCATTTCGTAGGGACCCGCAGGTCGAAGATTTCATTTCATTTCATTGGACCCGTAGGTCGATTAGCATTTCATGAAATAAATCACGTCAAAAACTATAATATTGAAAGGACAGAACAACTTGCACATAAAGTATCCTACCTCGATTGATAATAGAAAAGTAAGGAATTCACGTTCCCAAAACCTTTTTGCTGTTGTCGTGTCTTGTGGATTTAAGGTCGATCCAGTGGTAATTCCACGTGCCAAAATCCTTTCTAAGAGTATTAAAACCCGTTTCCGACAATACAAAGAGAACACTTCTGGAATGGAGGCTTGGACAGGCAGTGGAGAGTTAAGTGAAGATGGAAGAAAGTGATTTTTATCTCATAAATTTTCGAGGATTTGGAATGAATTTATAGTGTAAGGGAGGTGTAAAATTAAGAAATGTTTTGACTGTCAAATTTGTTAAAAATATATAAAAGGGTAATTATGCAATCTAACCAACAGAAATCTCGTCAATTAGCTCATTAATCTGTCCAATTACAAAAACTCTTTGTTTGGATATCAATCAAATTAAATTAATTAGGATCTATTTAACATAAGAATGGTCAAGTTAGTGTCAATTTACATAAAATGACAGGTTATCATATCATCATATAAAATGAAATAAATAATTAAATAATATATTATAAGCTTAATTGGACTATATGCCCAAAATAACTAAATTTGTTAGAGGCCCCAAATCGTGTCTTACCATTATTCAAATTCAATTAGCAATTAAAATTAGCCTTTATCCTAATTGAGAGTTGGAAATGTGCGTGCACGTGTGGCTACCCCATACTCTTATCATAAGGAAATTTACCAGTTCTAATTTAAAGACAATTGACACAATTGAGAGTACAAGGTATGATTGCCATGCATCATGCCTAGAGGCTAGAGATTGTCCAAAAATATTATTATATAATAACTAATTCATTCAAAGCTAGGCCTAAAAACGTGTGTCATCTTAGAATGGTCAAAAAGTCATAAATGTTAAATCAATATTGTAAGTAGGATTCCAAAATCAAAGCAAATGATTTTTTAATCTTAGAGAAAATTATTTTATCCAAACATCAATCAATCATAGTTAACTAAAAATATCTCTCCCTACATATTACTTTGCAAACTACTTAAATTACGAGTACCAGAAAACCAGAAATATTGGCAGATAAATATAAACAAGGATTAAAAATAATTAAATCTCTTTCTCTAATAGAAAAGATAAACATTGATTACTATGATAAAATACTAGCTTCTTTTCCTAATTATCTTAAAAGAAATATTGTTAAATAATAAAAACGATGCTTATTATCTATGTTTCTTTGAATTGAAATAACTTAGTTTTAACTTAAAAGAACTCATATTTTCTTGAGCTGAAAATACGTTATTAAATGCGAACTACAAAATGAGCCCAATATTGATATACTTATACTCATTCTATCAAAATGTAATTATGGGTGCCAAATAAAATATGACTTTAAACGCTATTTCATTTCAGTCCTCAAATTTTAAAACTATAACATATAAGACAAATATATTTTTATTCCAACATTTTCGAGGCATTACATCAAAAGCCTTAACCATGTAAGAGGGAGCAACAATGCTGCGGTCCAAATAGCCAAATAGATCTTGACTACTTAAGAGAGGCACAAACTAATTTTTCCAGAGCAAGTAATTGATGGAGGTCAGTTTAATGGTGAGCATGCGCACCATGGTGTTGAGTGGAAATGTTGATGAGGAAGATATATTTGCAGCCATAGGATTAAAGAAAGAAAAATAAGAAGTCTAAACGCTCTAATACCATAAACAAGTTTAAGAAACCAAAGATATGACCGGAATCCTCAATAATCATTGAGGGGAATAACTCTCATTATATATACAACGTGTAAGCCTATAAAATAGGAAAGAATAATTATGTAATCATATAAAGAACGAAATAACAATATTGACAATAATAAGACAGTTATAATTAAGGACAGAATCAATCAGTTGGTAATTCTTCCTTATCAATTACAATATGAACTTATAATGATATTGAGCTTATATATATAATATTATGCTCATGTTTGAGCCACATTATTTTTCTTGGAATGAATTTTTGAATAGTGTGTTGATGAGAAATATACGGTTAAAAATAAAGAAAATTTTTATATTTTTGTGTAATATTATTTTATTGAAAATTTTATAATTGAAATGATGTCAAATCATTATTTAACAATGTATTTTTTTGAAAAAAAGTGACTCAAATATGACCTATATAATCAATCAGTTAGGTGTCAAAGCTAAACTGTCAAAGCCAACTGTCCAACCGCCCATTACTTATTCATTTTTTTTTTTTCCATTTTTTTCCTAAGCAAGTGTCCGAAATGTAATGGTTACTCAAAATGGTTTCAGAACTTAAAGTCAACTCGGACTAATAAAAATGAAATAATTTGGTACCATTGATTGACAGGATTAGATATATGATATGTTTTATTATTGTTTTGTTTTGTTTGATTTTTTTTTTTTTTAAATTTCACAATACCATAAAAGTTGATAAAAAAAGAAAAAAAGAAAAAAAAAAGATAAATCAATTACAACAATTAAGCACAAATTTTGTGTGGACTACATATTTATAAACTTTTCAATTACATCAATTTTATCAAAGTTACTAAAATTCTGTGCCCCTATTTGAATTCCATTATTTAAAAACTCTTTTTTTTATACTCATTTCCAATCATACATTCTCTCAATAAAATAATTTTATACTTAAATCCAATTTTTTATCAGATTTTTTAACTACATATCTGCTGAAAAATCATTATTATAAAACATATTCTCACAAAATATGGGGCTCAAACAAACCCTGGTTTTTGTCAAAACCGAACTGAGCCTAATTATATAAACTATTTTTAAAAAATTAACTAACTTTATAAGAATAGATTTCAACGAATCAACATGCCAATGCTCCAACCATGACCGTCATGACTCGTTAGCTCAATCCAAATATCTTCACAAGATGTTCGGAAAGTTTTCAAAACATCTTGATAGTAAAATTAGCAATAATTTTTATGCAATCCAAAACACAATTTAAAAAAATAATAATAATAAGAAAATGGTCAAGAATCTTTTATAAATCGGAAAAACTTATTAAGAATTTATGGCAAGAAAATTCAATATAGTTTGGTCTCCACTGTTTCAAGAATCCGCCATCGCCATACGAAGACCAAATTTTACACGCCATGATGTCGACGAAGACTTGACCTCAACTTCCTATCAAGTAATCCACGACCCACAACCCAGACCCACCAACTCCACCCAAACCCATTCCTTGCTTGTTCTGTATATATTATATGTAAAGATTAGAGATACAAATATATATAACTCCTTGAAAACTCATAACCCCCACCCTCTGCGTTTCCTCCAGTTCGTTCTCTACACAATGGCTCTATCCACCATAGTCAAAACCTTAAAGGCATCATTTCCAAGTGATGCATCCTGCGCAATTATTATACTGTTTCTCATATTGGTGGGCTCATCATCATCAGTGAGAACGAATAATTCTCTACTGAGAAATAATCAGCTGAAAGACTTCCCCTGCGAGGAAATCTATGTTGTAAGAGAAGGTGAAACTCTTCATACTATCAGCGACAAATGCGGTGATCCCTTCATAGTCGAGCAGAATCCACATGTTCATGATTCCGATGATGTTTTTCCTGGTCTTGTCATCAAGATTACTCCTAAACATAGGAAGGTGTAATCTTCATCAAGATATTGGAAATTATAGGCCTTCTTTGTTTTTGTTCTTCAATAAAAATATGAATATAGTGTACTTTTGTTATATTTCTTGCATGTAAGGAGGAAAAAAAGAAGAAAAATTATGAAAATTTTACTTTTTTTCTTGTATACAGCTAAAGAATAGGGTGCATAAATTCCTCGATATGGGTGGGTGTTTTACATAGTGTTATTATTGTGAAAATTGATTTTATTTATCTTCATAGATGAAAATATTGAGATTCATCTCTCTCTCTCTCTCTCTCTCTCTCTCTCTCTCTCTCTCTCTCTCTCTCTCTCTTTATTATTTATTTATTTTGATAACAAGAACAAACTAAAATGAATATCAGGGTCACGTATTTATTCATTCCACAGCCAGTAAAAAAATTAAATTTTATTTTTAAGTAACTTGGAGACTAAATGATTTATTTTTATTTTTTGTAATTTGATCTATTATCGGCAAAATGATTTATTAAAAAAAATAAAATTGTTTATAACAAGTTAAGCTAGTTTGAAAATCATCCTTCTTTACAAAAGTATAGACCAACGTCTACAAGCAAGATTTTGTACATGGACAATGTGAGCCAGAACCTTCGTATTGAGGGGGCGAAAAAATTTTGACAAGGCAAAATATACATAAATTATAAAATGTTGTGGGGGCAGTCCCCACTCCCGCACGCCCCCTAGCTTTGCCCCCATATGTAGAAATATAATCACTAGACTCAAATTCAAATTTGTTAGAAAATTATAATAAAATCTCTGATGCTCGAGTTTAGCTACCATCTCAAGGCTTGAGATACTTGACAGAAAAGATATATTATGAACCTTATGTTTGTGCAAAATATATATAATTAAGTTCCTCTTGTTGGTATTGGATACCAAACATCAAGAAAATGAACATTCCTTGATGTCAAGGCTCCAATAAAAGGAAAATTTTTCTATTAAAAAAATTATAACATAGTACTTTTGATGCGTTTTAATGACCATCCAACACCAAATTGTAAGACTTAAGTTTCAATATATTAAAAATCTATTTGGTCCCATTTTTCAAATTTCATTTTTCTCAAACTTATTTTCACTTACACATTTCATAAAATATACAACTTTTATCAACTTCTTAACTACATGTCTCATTTAGTGGCGGCTGCAGAAATTTTTAGTTAGGGGGTACAATCAAATTCTGTACAAATCGAATACTTTGTTATTGATTTTGAATGATTTATATTTGACCCGAGAAAATGCAGATTTACACTTAAAAAATATTTCTTCATTAATATTTTGCTCATCATTCTCATCAATTTGATTTCGAACAGTTAATTCAAGTGATCGAAAAGAAAACTTATAACCAATATTCAATTAAATAAATTCAATTCATTTAATATAAGTTAAATTGAGCCCATGTGTTGAGCCACATTCTAGGGAAAAAATGTATAATTCATGTCAAATCAATGGGAAATGTGTGGTTAAAAAATAAGAAAAGTTTTAGATTTGCATGTAATATTATTTTATTGAAAAATGTGTGATTGAAATAATGTCAAATCACTGTTGAATAATGTATTTTTATTGAAAATTATGTGGCATTAGTGTATTAGTATTTGTTCTATTAGACAACAATGATCACATTTTTTCACTTCATTCAAATAAGAGTTGTACTCATACGAAATTTATTGTGATTTTGTCCCTGTTTGATGTGGGGTTAAAATTAGAATTTTAATAAATTTTGATAAAAGTTAAAAAGTTAAGGATTTCATGAAATATGTTGTTAAAATTAATTATTAACATTGATTTAGATTAAAATTTATATTTCAATCGATATCAAACAGGACTTATTTAAAAAAAAAAAAAAATCTCAAAAGTTGGGGGGTCATGTAACCCCCCAAGACCTCCCATTGTGTCTGCCCCTAGTCTCGTTAACGTTTATCAAAAACTAGTTAAGTCTCCAAATTTTCGATTGCTTACCAATTAAGACTTTATTTATTAATTTTTGCTCATTTCACTAAAGATTCATATTGCACTCTCAGATCAAGAGAAATTATGGGAGCAAGTGGGGGGCCCGCTATGCCGAAAGCGAGAGAAACCCCATTCCCTACATGTTCCCATTCCCTTGAGATGTTACTATGGATTTTGCCCAGTGTTGGAAGGTCAAAGAAGTTGGTGACCTAATGGATGAAATGAAAATTGGATTCATGTAACAGGACAAAGGTTTTCCATTCCTTAGCCGGGCCCCTCTACCATATCTGTATAATAATTTAGTAATTTTATCATTTGATTGTCTTGCCACAAGTTAACTCCCGTTAGACCATCAATAAATTGGACCCAAAAAAATATTTTTGCCCTCCATTATGTATCATTTCAGAGTATCGTTTTCATAAAGTAAATCAATTCTAATCACATAATAATATAGAGTCCAAGCATTCGATCATCAAACTATAGAGCTCGGATTTGATTGCTTATTAGAAAAACACTTAAAGTGACAATCATCTCATTAAATGATTAAGGAATTCCTTATTTAAATAGAGGAAATTACATTGGGTGTTAAAATTCCACTTTGCATTATCAAAAATGTCACCTTTTTAAAACCATATCAAAAAAGTCATTTTCGGACTGTTTTGCCCTTCTGAATAATTTTAATACCTTATATATCCTTCATTAAATGTGATATGACTAGTCCATTAAAAATTGTAGAAAAACCTGAGACATGTCAGGGTTTGGGGTATATTCAATGTTGAAAACAGAAAATGAAAAAAAAGGAGGAGGTGAAACGAGAAGAAAGAAACCGACTCTCACGCACTCCTTTTCTCTCATGCACTCCCCTCTCTCATTGGAATTGCCCCCCCTCCCACCCGGCGACGATCATCGTGACGCCCACCGTCGACTATTATTTTTCAAAGATTTGAGGTATCTACTACAGATTTCTGTAGGGGAGGGAGTGAAACCAACGGCATCATCGGCTTGTCGACCCGAAGAAGAACCCTTTCTCCGCCATCCACAAAAAGACCATCTCTAGCCGCCTTCGCAAATACGGTATGTATATGTGTATATTTGTAGTATGGGTAAATGTGTGTTTTTGGTCTACGTATTGTTATTGTTCATTTAGGTTTGGATCTTTGACTGTAATTTCAAGCTAGTCAACACCCTCATTGTTGTGTATCTGTAATCTATATGAGCCCCCTTTCGTTTCTGGGGCACTGTTACTGATTTTAAACTTTTGATTTTTGGTTGTAAAGAGTTCCATGGGTGTATAAAATTCTGGGTAATTAAAAGAAGGTTCTTTCTATTTTGCAAATAAATGCTTATGCATCTTTGGAGAAATAATTTAAACTTTTAGTTTTCGCTATGTTTGCTTGTTCTCTTGCATATCTTTGGAGAAATAATTTTATGTGTTGATTAAGTAGAGTAGAAAATCCTCCACCTCTTCCACTTTCAAAACTCGGTCTGGTTGTTCAGTTATTGGGTTTCGAAAGTATCTTCGAGAAAAGGGAAAATTACCAAAAGGTGTCCCAAGCTCTTGGGTTATGCTTGAATTTAGTGTAGATAATACTTCACCTCTGCAACGGCAACAAATTGTTGCAGATGACACAAAGGTAAATTATTATTTATTTCTTCTAATAGTACATTCATCTACACTCTAATGTCTGTATACAATGAAATTTAATAAGCTAATTGATATTGTTTTTGTCCTCCTAGAAGTCCTTTTAGAAGAAAGAGATGTCGAACTTAGTTGTTCTAATTTCATGTATCGATGTCTAAAACCGTTCTTAATATTTTTTATTTTTGTAAAACTTCATTCTTTCTTGCAGTATCTTTTATGGAATTGGCCAACTTGTACGTTCATTAATGTAAAATTTGTAACTTCATAAATGAAAGAAGCTTGTGCGCAAATTAATTAGCGACAACTTATTTTTAGTAACTTTTGATTTTTGAAGTAATATTGCATTTAGTGGGAAAGATGATGCTCTTCGAAGCATTCATAAATCAGGAAAACTGGATACAATTATAGGAAGACAAAAAACATGTTTATTTTAGAAGGAACTAGGAATCTTATATTGGGAAATCTGCTAAAAACTAAACCATGTCGGTATGATAAAGTCAACAAGGTATTCATGATTTGGCTCTTCTATGCTGCTGTCTTTAATTATATAAGTGTTCGTTTGGCATAAAAATGGCTTCCTGTCAACATGACTCCCATTCAGTTTCTTTCCATTTATGGTTTCAACCTTTTTGTAACATCTCATATTTGCATTCACTTTCAAGCTTCTTCCACTATCAATCTCCATGCCTATCCTTCGACATGAAGTGTTAACCTTCCTGCATGCATTTTTTCTTAAATCACTTACTATCGAAGTGTCGTTCCCGACAGTTCGCAAAAGAAAATCTCGACAGATGGAATCCTCGACAGATGAACTGTCGATCCTGACAGTTAGCCTCACTAATTGTCGACAGATGAGCCTATCCACCGATGAACTGTCGGGAACGACAGTTCCTTTGTTCCATAATTTTACAAGTTGAAATTTGGTTCCGACATTGCACGTATGTTTCGCATTAAAAATACTACTATGCTATGATGTCACGATTTTGTTCATTGATCCGTCGTTGCAACATCGTACGTGTGTTTCGCATTACTATTACTGAAATGTATGATCTCACGATTTGTTTATTGGTTCCAACATTGCATGTGTGCTTTTGCATTAACATCATTGCAATGCTATGATCCGGACATTTGTTGATTGATTCGTCATTGCACCTTGTTTATCTAAATGTGGTTCAATTTTTTTCATCCTGACGTGTCATGTGTCTTCAAATACTACGATCTGACGTATTAAATTTATGTTAAACTGCAGGAGGGTGCATGGATTTTGAATATCTAATTCCAAAGAATGCGCGGCTGAGGGCCCACATCTTACAGCGAAGCAATCTACGGTACGTGAAGACAGTCCTCAAGCATTTCGATGGTCGGCAGCGTACGGACTTCTGTAACTCATGCCTAGGGTTCTTATCCGAGGTTTGAGATCTCCAATTCTCAGTCCAACTAATCCAGCAGCTCATTTTTGCTGCATACGAACTGAAAAGGCCTACGAAATATGTTTCCAAGTGCAAGGCCACTTAGCCAGGTTTCGCCTGCAAGAGTATGTTCTCGTCACGATTTAATGTGTGGTCCTCTTCCAGAT